GCCTCCAGCCGGATGCCGGTGGGCGAAGTGGGCGGCGAAGATGGCGGGGTGACTGGTGGTGTGCTGGCGGCCGTCGTCCATGAAGCCTGGCAGAGCGAGGAAGCAGGCCAGGAAGGCTGATGCCAACATGCAACGCGCCAGGGGCACAGCTGGAGAATGGCAGTAAACCTTGGCTGAGGCTGCTGTGCAACGCAGCAAATGCTGGTGCGGAGAACTGGGACCGATACGGGAGTCTGGAAAACCCATCCGGGGCCCACAAATCCCGAGAATCCTGCACTAGCTCAGGGCTTTTCCGAAACGGAGGCGGCTGCAGCAGATTTGAAAGCTGACAATTCTGTTCACCCCGCAAAAACCAAACACCCGAATGCGCCAAGGTCAAAGCGTCCAAAAATCTAGACTCTTATTACTCCAAAACCTTGTTTACCAACCTGCATGGAACCTGCACAAACCTGCCAGCTCTGCTTGCTCTACCCAAGGCAGCTTCCCATTGCTTATCTCTTCTGGAATAGGATTGCAGGCCATTGGCTTGGCAAGGACCGGTCCTGTAGGCACCGGTCCTGCCGACATCATCATCGGCACCTGCATCTGCTGGCCCTGAGCTGCGCGGCACCAGTTCAACATCTACGTATTCACAGGCAATTGAGAGGCCAGGTGGGGTACAACAGCTGCCCGTTTTCACCCAAGACACGAACGAGCTCTGCACAGGCAGCTGGGCAAGCTGATGAAGAGAGGAGCGAGGTTGAACCGAGCAGGCAGCTGAGAGGTCGCGCAGGTTCTGCGAACTTTCACACGTGGGATGATCAGAGAGCTAGAAGCCTTGCTATGCATGCTCAGCTGCTTTTGAAAGCTCTGACCACAGTTCCGGAGGCAATGACCAGAAGGTACTCAAAGCGGCTTGCAGAAACTGAGAGGACCGAAAATCCGTAAGTAACTCTAAGCCCCTTACCCAACTTTCAATGATATTTTCCGTCTGGTTGGGGGCTTCCACATGAAGTTTAAACACCTGCCTCGCTGGTTACTCCAAGCTTCTCTGCCAAGTGGCCGACAGCACGGTCTGAAACCCTGGACAGACTTCCCAAAACACTTGCACCTTAAAGCTGGGAACTCTGAGGCTCATTGGCTTGCATCATGCTTCAGGAAGGCAACCTTGCAAGTTATTACCTCTGGCTTAGCAGGTCACTTGGCCAGATGCAAGCCAAATTGCGGCCGATTGAAAACCTTGAAAACCTGAGTGACATGAGCATTGATCAAGAGTGCAATCTACTTTGGTCAAGCTCATGCAAAACCTGCCACCTTTGGGTTGCTGAATACCAGGCATGAATTGTAGAAAGCTGAGACCCGCTACAAAGCTTGGACTCTTCATTAAACTTTCGACCGGGGATGCGACTCAGCTTTCTTGATGTTAAACCTTTCATCCGCTGCAGTCTTACGCGAGTCTTATCTTGACACAGTTATCGCCAATCACAAGGCACGCCACATAATTCAAAAGAAAAGCATCGCGCTGCTTGGAGAGAATTGCAGGCCTCCACAACTGTGCTAGGCCACCTGAAATACCCTTGGAACGCAATCTGGGCAGCTTCGAGGAAGTCAGATATAACCGTGCTTTTCATGGAAGCTACAATTACAAAGCTTGCATTACCTTCTTCTGCTGAGTGCTCGCGTCTGGCCCAGCTTGCCGTAGCCTGCTCATACCTGACCTGATGTCTACCTGCCTGACAGAGGAGTCTGTGGAAACTCTAAACACAGTTTGCCAAAAAGCTGCAATGCCTGCAGGTTCCTCTTGCGCTGCACAACGTCCTGACAGCACCCTAGCCCGCACTTCGGTGAAAACATTGCGGTGGGGTTGGAGCTGTCGAGCTGTCAGGACTTTCCTGATATTGATCACCTGAACATGCACCTGAAACACTGGCTGGTTTCAGGTCTGCGCTGGTATTAGCACAGTGTTGCTGTTACATCATCCAGCCGCAGACCTGGACTGATACCTTACCACGAATTGAGAACTGAAACTGAAGACCTTGTCTACCTGGCACCTGTGGACTGCTTGCAGCATCTATGTCCTGACTGCTGAGCAATAAGAGTTCCATTACAACCTACAAGAAATATCATAGAAGCTGCAGCCTGCATCCTGTCACCTACAAATTGCATTGGGAGCAGGGACAACCTACCGAATCTCTCGCTCAACCGCTTCGGCCTGCATGTAGATCGCAGCACATAATCTCAAACGAATCACAAATTCGAACGCTCCTTGAGGCGTCCCTGCTTTCTGTCTGATGAACCTCTACCTGGTGGCATGAAAGCACGCTGGCATGGCCACAAGCCAAGCTTTGTCTTCTGTAGATACCGCCGGCCATGCCAGTGTGGCTGCAACCTGAGCCTGAAAGTGAGACCTTAGAGAATGCAGGACGCCCATCGTTTCCACTAACTCCGAAATACGAATGTCTGTTGTCAACCTCGGATGGGCATCACGACCTGGGAAGATTGCTGCAGCAAGCTGCACCTGGTGCTAAAGCCCGATAAACGTGCTTACAATCCATGCTTCTCTGGTGAGGAAATGACGACTTGGGCAATCAATGCATGAGGCGCAGCTCAATACCTGAAACTACCTGGACCTACCTGGCCTGTACCATACTGCACCAGTTTGTGGAGCATACCATCACCAAAAAACAAAGTTGTACTTCTACAAACGCCCAGGAAGAAAGCCATTGGCTGCATCAGCCATTTAAATGCTCCCCATGCTGGCAGACCTCAGACCCATCCGATGCAGATCCAAACTCGATCTATCAAGCGGAGGAGGTCTCAGTCAAAACGCCGGCTCAAACAATGTTTGTCCGACCGACATGCAGCCAACAGCTGCATGACACCTTGGTTCTGCAACTGCAAGGAAAAATGTTGCTAATGTTCCGCATACCTGCTGTTGCACAAAGGTCAAAGCAGTCTCAGTCCCGCACCTAGAAACCTAAAGTGAAAAGCTGCTGGCCAGTTCGCGTAGAAACGGAGCTACAAGCTCTGGTAGTCACTCGGGACCACGAGCGTGCAGCTACAACAGCGCAAAGAAACAAAGAGCTGGCTCTTCGGCCTAAATGGCACTTGCAGGCTGCAGCACCAGAACCGTGCAACATACAAAATATGTGAAGTAAAGATTTACTAATGGCAGATGAATACCACCAACCTGCAGCAGCCTGCGATTCACAGCTATGACTGACTCGGCAGCCCGTTTGGCTCAAGAGGAGCCTGGCGGAACAGCTCTCCGTGGCTGCGGCTTTCTGAGGAGAACGCGCACGTCAGAGGCTAGAAGCAGCAACCGCCTGGGGCTTCGTCTAGGCGTTGTACCTGCTTGAACTTCTCAACACCATGTCATACCAACTGGAAGATAGGCCCTGAGTGCTCACGTGATGACAGTCGAACTGATGGATGCTCGGCATAAAGGGCAGCTGTTCACCTCATGACTAGAGGAACTTTTGCTGCATGGTAGAAAACACTCAACGCACTCAGACTCAGCGACATCCTTTCAAATGCCGACTTAGAAATAAATCCGATAGACTCCGATAGACATCTCATCCTGCCTAATTGAGAGGTTGATAGAGGCCGCCTCCCTCTTGAACATCCCACTCAGTCTTCCTCAAGGCCCCCTGTACAGAGCTGTCCAGCTCTGCGTTGCCGTCCCCCAGTCGGTCCTCCAGCCCTCCATCCAGCCAGACTCTTTTTCCGACGGTGTCACAAGAATGTGCCATTCGGATGGAAGGGAAATGCCAAGATCTCCATGAAACTGGTTCCAATTCTAGCAGTGGCTTATCCAATCATTACCACATTTGTAGCAACAACAGGCCCTCGCGACACTTGGGTGTCAAGCTTAAAGACACCCTCTCAGGTGCCTGGTCAAGGCATCTGGAGCACACCGCTCGATGTTGACAATCCAAGATGACCTGTGTCAGCTAAACAGACCCGACCAACTCTCGCTGGAGGCATTGGTGTTCAAAGGCTGTCGAGTCATCTGCTGTGTTGATCTCGCGTTCGTAGCAGATTTTGCACAAATGGCCTAGGAATGGAACAGCACGTTGACCCAGACACTGCAAATCCGTCAGCACCAAACGTCAAGGGCGTGGCGTTCCTGTTCCGCTTCGAGTCGCTTTTGAAGCTCCAAGACCTGTAGCTCTTGTTGACAAGCCTTTCTGCGCATTTTTGCCCGTCAAATCCTGGCCTGAAGCCGCAGCCTGGTGACTTCTTTGCTGTTCTCAGGCTGAGGGCCTAGCAGGCAGCAGCACACTTAAATTAGTGCACTGCCCTGTTAAATGGCACTGGACAATCCTTCCACTTCCCCGATCTCTGGTTCCGCAGCCGCCTTTGTGCGAACTGCTTAGCTTCGCAGCGCTTCAAAGCTTGACAAATGCTCCCTTCTTGCCTCCGCATCTCCTTCACCAGCACCTTGCAAGCGTCGCCTGACAGCTAAGGTGCAGGCAGAACCAGAAAACCTGCCAGTGTGTTGCAAAGCTTTGCGACCTTCGCTTCTCTTCACCACGAGGCAGCTGTTCGGGGAGGGCCTCGGCTGAAAGCATTGAGCTCATTGGAACACAAAACCTGAAATGCTGCAAAAGAATGTGGCGAGGCCCTGAGGGTAACGCAATCTTGTACATGTCATTTCGCCGTGTACCATCAAACTCAGAGGCAGGACGCAGATCTGCAGTCAACGGGAAGTAAGTGAGCTACTTGCTCTGCTGCCGTTTTACCAGCTCAGGTCAAGGCCCCCCCAAGGATGTACATGCAACCTCCATACCTTGTCAAATCAGAAAGCTGCCGTGTGGTCTGAAAAAGATCGGTTGGTCGGTGTATGTCGGTGTCTTTCAGCCGCGGGTTGCCACTTTGCAAGCTTAACTGGCTCCAGGTATTCAACGTATGATTTTCCTTTGTCTCTCCCCTTTGGTGGCCTCTGCTCCCTTCAGGAAATAGGTTAGGCACTGTAGAAATCTCGATGGCTGCAGAGAGAAGCTGGCAGCACTGCGCCATAACGCGGAAATATGGTCCCATTGCCACACCCCAAAAAGTACCGGGCCCAGACCAGTGCATCATCTAGCATCTCCATTGACGATATGAAACTGCGGATGTCAGGGCGTCGCAGTGGTCTCGCTGCCGTTTTCCGGCAGAAGACAAGTCACAGGGGCTTTCCGCAAAAACAGCATCAAAGCTCAAGGAGCCCAAAGCCTGTCCATTCTGGCGTACTTAGCCGTCCGGTGTGATCTGAGCTGGCGGCATACAGGCACGGTGAAAGGTTCTTGCTGAAGGCGGATCGCCAGTCTCAGGGTGCGTCATCTTCCGGAGGCAGGACATCAATTCAGACACGACTCATGTGATTCCATACGAGGCTGCCACAGTCTTTACTCTTGACCATGACCTTGCTGAACACAGAGTGGATCCCTTGCAAGCCCCACTATGCTGCACTATTGAGGCACCAGCCGAGTGTCAAAGCTGAACTCGCACAAGTCAGAGAAACGAGCCTGAAACAATGACGGGCCCAGTCAAGACCACATCGAGAAGTGTGGCCACACGTGCTTTCAAGGCACCCTTTTACTGCTATGTCGGTAGGTGACAGTATGTTGACTGGGCCATTAAATGAGAGGAGGCACCTGGCGCTTGTCCACACCGCCAAAAACAAACATGCAGCACCCGTGGACGACAGCACTGTGACGATAGCGTGACCTTGAAATTTTGCGACGCATCGAAAACTTCGCCAATAAGCTTGCAGTGGACACTGCTTCAGTCAGGCAGCGGAGGCACATCTCCCCGGCCAGGAACACTGTACCTGCAACTTCAACATGGTCTGTGAATTCAAGTAAAGGCAAGTATGCTGCTTGGGCACCACTGGTTCGTGGTTATGGAAAACTCATACAAGTCATCCAGAGTATCATGTCCGTCCCAGCCGCCAAACACAAACCTGCGCTGCAACACATGCCCGAAGCCCCTCTGATTGCACATCTTCAAGCTGAATAAGATCCGCGCATGCTGGACTGGTAGACCACAGCTGAATGCCCGAACCGTCCCACGGGCACGTTGTCGGTGTCTGTTACCTTATACACCGGTGCTTAAGTCTGAACGAGTACTAGCAGTCGTGCGATCTTGCACCTGCATCCACTCCCTTTCTTCCGTGTTGAAGAGATGCAAATCCTGCCGATTTGGGGTCAGGAGACCGACACCGAGGTCAACACGACACACAAGAAAATCTACTCTCGAAAAGTTCAGTGATTTCTTTGGCCTGAAAGCGGGTGCGTCCATCAAAGCCACCAAAGATGTAAAGGCTTGCCTGCTTGCGATCTTCTACGACTGTGACACAATACATGCCAGCCAACTGGTCCATTGATTCCAGCCTCATACACCACGCAGGAATGGTCTGTACGAACTGATGGCTTCTGTGCTGCATCAAGGCCTCAGGGAGAATAACTTCAATAACCAAGGAAAGCTTCAAAATGCGACGACAGCGAACATCTGGCTCACTTCAAGTCTGAGGCAAAGACGGGTCCAATGTGCTTTGGGGATGTTGAACTCAAACAGGTCATTGAAGTAGTCACCATCCTGCTTAAACACGGCTGAAGACTCAGGCGTTTGAAGCTGCTAAAATCATGTCTCAAGTCTTATGCCTCTTGAGCGTCATGTGTTCTGTGAAAACATCCATCTGTGACCAAATACAACGTCTAATCTTTCTTCAGCAGCTATCGGAACCTGGAAAATCAAAACCCTCCGGAAGTCCATCAGACCCTGCACACGTGCTCCTTCTTCGTGTAGCCGCCAAAGAAGAAAATGCTGTCGCGGCATACCACCGCCTGCTCGACAGTCAACCATATTTGAGGCCCTTGCCTGGGGTAGCTACCTAGGCCAGAAGAACCTAATACAATCCTCATCCCATCCTGGCTTTCACTCCCATATCTTGGGCCACACCTTGGAGCCAGATCGCGCTGAAGGTGGATTCCCCGTCACCGGATCGATGCATGCCCATGTCCTGCAGCACCGCATGCTGCATGCGGCACTGGAACCTGTGTGTGCAGAAGGCGCACTTATGACGGACATCGTAGCGGTAGATGTCGTTCTGTCGGGCATTTTCATCTGTGCCTGCAAGAAGAACGAAATGGCTGGTACATTGCTGGCACCGCACTCTTGTGCTGCTGCACGCCAGTTCGGGGCCTGTTTTGGCTTGCGCTCAGACTGATCCGGTGAAACAATCACAAGGGCTCTGCAGGCTGCTTTTCAGTCACTGCACCGGCGGTCCTCATTGCATGGCCCTGACGGTAAGGGCCGCTGCTCATTTCCTGCCAATGCAGAAGGCAAAGTGATGGATTCGGAAGATGATGGGCAATGAGGATAGCACATGCAGCCGCGAAGTACACCTCCGAGCTGCAAATCCCGTTTCACCTTACAGCAATCGTGGCCAGGTCGCGGAGCTTTGCCAGATGCTATCAGATGGGCTGTGTCACACAAAGCCATTAGAGTAGAGAAGGCCAGCTAAATGACGCATGTGAGTGGCTATTCGGGTGATTCAAGAATAAGATTACACAAAGCTGCGGCAAAATCGGCAATCACTTGACTTTCATCCATGTTCAGGCCCGTTGAGGTCAAGGCGAAGGCTGTCGACTGCAGCGGACATGACACCTGCCACGCTATCCTGGCATGCTGGTATCTGTATGTTGCAATGCTCTCATGTCCTGATAGTTGATCAATCATGAAGGTGTCGGCCTGCTCCTCGCCGGACAAGCCTAAGGTTCCAGGTTTGTATCTCTTGGTCATGACATTCGTGCATCCGCAGTTGAGGGCCCACTGTCTTCCATTGGTACGACATGGGGTCCTATCTCGAAACGCTAACTCGCTATCCAGCACCATCACATTTTGTGAGGTGCCACGGGGCGGTGAGACTGGATTTCAACTTCATTGCAATTTGGATTTGGTCCGAGTCTTGCCAGAGGACTCCTTGGTGCCCAACTTAGTTCCAGTCCGGCTTGCTGTCCGGCTTGCTGACTCCAGCTTGGTGCCTGCGTTGGACTTGGTGCCTTGGTTGGATTTGGTCCCGGCTTTGGAACCTGGCTTCGATGCAGCTTTGGAGCTTTGGTTCTCCTCTTCCTCCTGCCTTAACTGCTCGCAAAGGATCTGGTCATCAGATTTCACTGGCCTCGGTGGACCTAGGATGTCAACCAAAACCTGCACCCAGTCCATGAGTTCTCGCTCTCGGGCCCTTCCTTCCTCCGTGTCCTCACAGGCAGCTATGTGGCCCATCGACTGCAAAGCCTTCACCACATCCACATACCTTCCTTTCAGCTTTGCCCGGGCGCCGGGACATACCGAGGCCAAGTGGCTTAGGGCATTGGTCCCGGAGACCATGGTTCCATGCAGGCAACTGCTTGCCAGCATGGCTTCAAGGATTACATCTAGGTAGGGCTCGACGACCAGAGCGTGCTTCTGACAGATTCGCTCAAAGATCCGAAGGCCCCAGAGCGCTGCCTCGGAAGACCCACCCTCGGTCCGAAGCCCACGGGCAACTGCCGATGCCGTGAGAGCTGGAAGTCGCCCCAACTTCTCTGGTGTCAGCAAGGCCATCAGATCATGTCCAGAGTCAGTCTGAAGCAGCGCAAAAGCACAAAAGAGCGCGTCCTGTTCAAGCTGTTTTGCCTCAGGTGTGATTAGATTGGGACAACAACCTTCACGAGTTTCAGCTTGTCCTACGGTAGGTTCTAGAGGCTCACACTCTAGCTTCAGAAACTGCCAGAAAAACTGCCCAAGCCTGAGACAGATCGTCCGCTCCCAAGGCCCAAAGAACTGCCGGCGCTGCTCCTCCCTCGACCCCTCGTTGAGCGAAGCTCTCGTCCACACTGCAGATTGCACCCAAAGCCGCCAAACCCCATCGCTGCACGCTTGGATCTTTCTCGTGGCGCCGCAAGGTGCTAATAATCACCTCTACAATCCCGCCCTCTGCACAACCACTGGGAAAGGCGTCCATGACAGCAGATGTGGGCTGCACAGAGGCGATGCTTCGAAGGAAGGCCAGAAGCTTCTCTTTCACACCAATCTTTGAGCTGTAGAGAAGTGCATCACATAAGGCTTCCTCTAGCTGGAGCTGGGAGATTGACCTCAAGACGTCAAGCTTCAAGTCGTTGCACCGAAACGTGATGTACAGGAGCGCTTCAGCCGCGGCTTCTGTCACAGCCTCGGAAACTCCTGCTGAGATGATTCCCAAGAGCTTCATGAAGAGCTGATGCTCAGGACCAAGAGACCTGTGAGAGGCAATCTGTGAGACCATATGGCAAGCTGCTTGCGCAGCGGCCTGGGCATCAGTGTTCTGTTCAGCAGTTTTTAGGCTGCTGAAAGCTGCGTTGATGAGCTGAAGGACTGAAGCCCAGTTAGCAGTGCCTCCAGAACACTCCTCACGACAGAGCGCGCAACGGGATGCGCAGCTGGCCAGAAAGGACAGAATGGCTGCCAGCAAGTGCGGATGGTCAGCGTTAGAAAAGCTGCCAAGAAGCCTCTGCGTCAGCTTCATCACCGCATGAAAGGCCTCGTTCATGGTGTTGGACCAACGTTCAGCTGGAGATTCTGCAGCTAGTGCCTGCAGGAGCCACAGGACTTGCAAAGCCAATTTTTCCTGCCCTTCTCCTTCCCGAGAAGTCACGAGAGTCAACGTGTTCAGAAGCATCTCAGGCCCTCCCTTGACCAGAATTTCTTCAATAGCCGCTGATCTGTGAGATCTCATTGTCTCTGCACCAACAAACTCAGTGAGCTCCCAGAGCAAGTTGCTCGCCACCTCAACACTCGCTGGCGGCGAGCAGCCCCAGAACAACACCTTGTGACAAGGCAGATCTTCCAGCCCAGCCTCTGGGCAGGGCTGTAAGAAAGCCTGGACTCCCTTTGGCGGCTCTGGCATGTATCCAGCCAGCCACCGAGCTAAAGGTGGACCTCCTGAAGACCCTGGCATGGCATCGCCCTCCCAAGCGGCCACACCGCGAAGGCGGCAGGCAGGTCGCAGCCACATGCGGGCAGACCCGGGCGCATCAGACACCACCATGCGAACACCTGCCGCGGGTGTCTGTGGAAGCGGTTTGTAGCAAATTGCGACAAGCTGGGGACTTCACACCCACTGTCCATGTAAACTCTGGACCACTTTGCAAAATAAGCGCGAACAGCCTACAACAATCTGCAACCGCTTACTGGGACACATGCCTCAGGTGGGAATTTGTTTTTTTGTGCCTTACCCCCCTGCACCTGGAACACCATCCAGTGAGCCTTGCGGAGGCAGAATTAAAGCTGGCTCAATGATGCAAACCTTGGACTCCTGGCTCGCGTTGGTCCATGTCAGGGCCCAGGCACCGCCATCGATAGAGAAGCCGTAGTAATAAATCAAGGCATCTCTGCTCCTGGTAACAGGATTTAAATGCCTGCGCCAGAACTGTGGTATCAGCTTTATGGGGTCGAAGTCATCATCCATATCATCGCAGCAGTCCAGGTGCTCAATGCGCTCCTCCGGGACGCCGGCCTCCAGCAAGGCCGTCGTCATAAGGTCGATTGCAATCTTCGACTGCTCTCGAAAACGACCCCGGCTGCGATTGATGTACTTGTTTCCTGGCAAGAGGAGCTTTGGGCCCTCTTCGAAGGGACCGCCATCTTGCCAGGCCGCACCATCACCTCAGAATGGAGGATTGAAATGCAAAGCTTTCACACGGCCCTACATAACCAATTATAGTAGTTTCCATTTTCTTCTCCATTATCCCTATATACAGTCGCTATATAATGTGCTATAATCACAACATCGAACCCTAAACCCTGAACCCTAAATAGTGGTTTCCCTTTCATTTCCATTATCCCTCAACCCCAAACCAATACTATATAATGTACTATAATAATGTACTATAATCCGCCAGGGCACATTCTGAAGTGATGAGCAAAGCCGCTCCGAAGCGCTTCGGGTCCACCAGCTGCTGCAGCGGACTGATGCCCCGCCACACTATGGTCCTAGGTTACTCTATTATCCCCCGAGAGTGGAGAATCAAATGTGGAAAATGAAATGGTTACTGGGGTAATATCCGGATTTGAGGAACTTAACTTAAGTTGCTATAATGTCGCGCCCAATTAAATGGAGGGGTCCGGAAGAATGAAAAGTTTCGGGGCAATTATTCAGAGTCAGCTATTGTTTGAGGGGTCCGGAATAATGAAAAGTTCTGGGGACCGAAATTTAAAAAAATGCGGATTCTGAATCCTAAATTTGGTTGTATTTGTCTTATTTTAGCTAGCAGCTAAGAAAAGCAATGCAGAAACAGCTTGCAAGCTCAGTCTCAGTCAGCTTTTTCTCTTAGAGAAATCATCCTGCTCTGTCTGTGCCTAAGGCACACCCTGAGAGCTGCTGTCTCAGGTACGAAAACTTGCTTAAAA